CCACCAGCGCCTGATCCAGAGCCTACACCTGGAGAGTCCGGCTCAGACCCTATCACGGGGTCTACAACACAGCTTTCAGTGGCAACTGAAGGTCTTACAGAGTCTTCTGAGGTGACAGCATCGGGATCTGGGGCGAAGAACGAGTCGAATGCATCTACTCCTACAGTACAGATTACCCCATCAGACCCTTGGACGTCATACACACGCACAAACGCCTGGGATGAGGTGCCTGAGATCGAGCGGTACGTTGATCGCCTGCATGGTGGTCATCGACGTGGTAAGAGTTCGACTTCTACGATAGGGCGTGTGAAGAGCCCATCAACTGGTGCATGGAGAGACGATCGGAGCAACCTTAAGAACCGCGGCCTGAAACTCACCGATTTCCCGAGCGCTACAGAACGCCCCAGTTTGCCGGTCACACCGGCCCCAATTCATCGGCACTCGTTCTGGGCGGGAGACGAAGGGCAACACGAGGACGAGGCAGCAAAGAAGCTTCCTGAGGCTGAAGGCGTGCCTACGCAGTCTGACTGGGTATGTGTGCATGGGAGACGTTGGAGACCGACAGACTGCCTGTGCGAGGTGACTGACTTGGTGCTACATCACCAGGATCCGCTAGCACAGCTCCAGAAGCTTGCTAAGCAGCAATCGGATGCGTTGTTAAAGAAGCTCGGTGGCGAAGGAGACGAGGGTCGAGAAGGAGGAGTGAGTCGAGAGATTCCAACACGTTCATTACCCTTTGGTTCGGGTGATGCCAAGTCACCAACTTATGTCGCGCAGTCTGCTGCAGGCGTGCTCAGCCCACAGCCGGTAAAAGGCGAAAGGTCGGCAGGCATCTTGCGTGACATGAGCAGTGGCCGTCTCGAACCTAACTCAACTTCGCAATCGACTACGATTCCCGAGCCGAGCTATACCGGTCCTGGCGCTGCCTGGGAGAAGGATGAAGATATACCGCAATATGAGACACCCCTGCCACCTAAGGAGGAGGAGCTAGATGCTCTCAATGCATAGCAGATTATCTGGGCACCAGCTAAGTTCATTGAACAAGGGAAAGCTACGGAAAGTTTTATCGTCTCCCACTACGACAAATTAGGATGGGGAAGAATTAAGAAGGAATGATTAATGCGTTACCGTTTCATGGCTATGAGCGGGCATAGTAATAGATACAGGTACGAGGGGCACTTGGGTATGTGTGGCATGGACGCGGGTCGCTTTTCTTTGTTTGTCATTGTTATTTTGGTTCCCTTGTGCCATCTCGTCAATAAGCTTCGAGGATTCCTTGTCAACGTCAGAGGAGGAGAGAGAAGGAGGATGTATTTTTTGTTGAAATATGGACACTGTGGCAGCGCCTTTACGGTGTCGTTAAAGAGTAGGAATTACCTCTGAATTGTCTTTGGATTCATTCATATACTCTTCGGTCTCTCTCATTCTTGCATTTCTCATTGCATTCGTGTTTTGTTGCTACGTTTGTATTTGCGCGTTTTCGATTCACCAATGCTCTGCGCCGATTCATCAGCGTGCTTTGACTGGTCTCATTCATCATGGAAAGGTGTTTCCTGGTCTACTCATATTTGTATAGTTGCAGATTGCTTTGGGTAGCTTGCATATCAAGTTTCAGATGTACAATACTGGCTTCAACAAACTTATATTTCGGGGTGAAGCTTCTCTGTCATGCATGCCATTGAGGTGAACAAATAGTACATAACTCCTGTGAACTCCATGCCACTAGCAATCGGGAAATTTAAATGCAGTCTTGGTCTTCACTAGACCAACGAGATGGGTGCAAAAAAATGATACATGCATAGAATGCCTATTGGTACCCAAGGCACAACTAGTCCTTAACATTTTCCTCATCCTCGACCTCCTCGACAGTTACGGCTCTCGCCTTCCCCTTGTCCTTTGAGTCGATTTCAGACGTATCGTCTTCATCACTATGGGATGGCGGAGTGCCTTGTGGTGTATGTTCAGCTGTTGGACTCGGCTGAGACGTAGCCTCAGCAGGGCCAGTTTGGCTTGAGCTTCCTTCAGCCTGAGGCTCATTCTGCGTTACAGGGTCAGCATGATCCAGGCGAGATCCGTTACCAAACAGTTGAGCCGAACCGCCCCAATTGGGCATGCGAGGGCTAGGCGCGACAACTTGGGGTGGCTCAACCGCTCGTGTGAACTGTGGTGTAAGTTGAGGGGGGCGCTGTTCAGTTGGAGTCAAAGAGGAGTTCTCAACCGGTTGAGCTCCCTGGTTTCGGCTACCAATTGGCGAGGGTTGTCTCACAGTAGACATTGTCTGAGGTACATTAATGTTATCTGCAACAGTTGCCTGAGGGCCAACCTGCGGGGAAGGTTGCGTCGAGGCTTGGCCGCCATCGAGACGCTGTAGAGGAAGCAGAGACCAGCCAGGAGGGATAACAACGCCTTCTGGGAGCTCAGCACTGCCAGCAGGGATAGGTACGGCGTTAAGGGGAGCACCATGGCGAGCCATAAGGGGGCTTGGCTGTCGCGGAGGTATACCTGGGAATTGGGGGAAACCTGGAGGCATAGACATCTGGGGCGTTATAGGGAATTGCTGAGGAATTAGAGGTTGGGGGAGAGGTACCGCAGTAGGAGGTATGGCCTGTGTCTGTATACTTGGTTGTTGTTCTGTATGTTGCTGTCTCTGTCTGAGACGGTATAGCTCTGCCTGGAGAAGATGGATGGTTTGTAATTCTTGATGCGCAAGCTGCAACGACTGCATCTCACGTTGGATCAGCTGGTCTGCTTGACTGATCAAGTTTCCAACATTCTGCAAGTTATCTCCAGTAGGAAGAGGAGTCGCAGGAGCAGTGTGGCCAGCAGCATTAGGGGTGGGGGGAGCCAGCCCTTGAGGGTTGGGAGCGGCTGGTGGCACGCCAAATTGCTGCGCAAGTTCTCTGACCTGTTGTCCGTTGGCGCCGAATCCCACACGAAGAGGGCCAATGTTGAAGATACGAGGACCAGCTGGCCGCTGTTCAGGCTGTGCTCCTCCGTTCTGCTGCCCCTGAACGGGAGCATCTCCTGGGTTTGCTGCTGGTTGGTTCGCTGGACGCCTGCCTCCAAGCTCAATTCGAAGACCTGCAGCCCGGTTCTGACCTGCACGAGGAGCTGTCTCGCCAAGGGTAACAGGACTTCGACAAGTAGGACAAACTTGCTGTCGCTCGAGCCAGCTCTTGAGGCAGCCGAGATGCAAAATATGTCCACAAGGTAACTTCTTGGGTCGAATTCTATCCATCGCGCCTGGGTTGTTCTCTGGATCCCACGGCCGCATTTCCTCGCGGCAGATAATGCAGGTGTCCTCGCGTTCCAGCTCTTCCTGAGTTGCGTCGGGATAACGATTCATCTCTTGAATGGCTTTTCGATATCGCAATAAGGCACCTAGACGCTTAATGAAATCCCGGGCTGTCATGAAGAGATCCCTCATAATATGAATGGGCAGTCCATAAAAAGCCAGAAGCATGAAGAAGAACACGATGTAAATACCAAGTTTAACCAGGTCTGTCTATGTCAGTAGTGCCCCTCGAAGCTTTTTTTTGCTTTCAACATACCTGTGATAAGGTCCAGCCAGAGTACAAACTCTCCCTTTGCAGACCAACCTGGTACTTCAATATCCATTTCATCGATATCATCCTCGCTAGGCAGTGGCTCGTCCGAAACTTCCTCGCCAGCGGCAGCCGCTACTTCACGTCGTCGGATGATAGTCTCACGTTCTTGTCTGACCTCTTGTCTCCTTTCCGCCAGTCGCTTACGTTTCTGCGCTTCCTGTATATTTTGTTCCGTCAACGACAGCGCATACCGGGCTGCCGTCCGCCACGAACTGGTGGCCAAGACTGCGAACTCGAAGAGAAACATGACCATCATGTTGGGTCGCGCTTGTTGAATAACGGTATTTATCGTGTATCGGAGGATGTAGATATCGTAGATGAAGCTTAGCGTGAGCGATACACTGAGTCGCAAATGGAACAAGCGAGGGTTCGCCGGCGGTTGCTGCTCGAGGACCTCAACTCTCCCATCACCAATCCATCCCCACACCTTGCCTGTCACCAGAGCTGCAAACATAACCAGAAACCAGGCTCCTATCTCTTCGCGGAATATGGTCATTGCTAGACATGTCTCTGTGATCGCAAACCAAGCACGTTCGGTTAGTTGCTCGACTTCGACAGCACGAAGAGGGCCAAAGAACATCCGTGTAAGGCCATAAACGAAGCTGCTATAGACAAGGAAGGAAAAGTTGACCAAGACCTGGATATGATGAGTTCAGCATCCTGCACGCAATAAACTCTAGAGCGTGGATTGCGTGGATCGCGCGGGATAACGTACTAGCAAACAAAAGTTGCTCTGAGCGAGATATACCATTGCCGAGTAAAAGTTGGCCCTCTGGTAGAAGGCCGAGAGGACAACACCACCTGCGAGGGCCGTCGAGGCCTGTGAAGCAAAAAGTCAGCATTGGTCCAGAGTGATCGGCTATAGCTCCATATAGCTTCCCCAAGCTCTCCCACCACAGCAATGCTTACCCCAGCATACCAGCCAAGTCGCATCTTGGGCATGGGAGTTGAACGATGGGGAATAAATTGGGTACTTGTCAAAATGTAAAAAAGTAACCAATCACTCCTCTATCCCCATGATTGAGTTGGGTTCGGATATGTAACTTTTGGTGAATGTGCTGTAATTACTTCACTGTATCAAATAACAGCCGACGATTTGATGCCACGTTAAGCAGAGCGACACACGACCGATGACGCAGAGGCCGAACCGATGCACGTGATTCTGCTCTGACGTGAGAAGGTTTACTTCACCTATTGAGGTAAAGCCGATATTTCCCCGTGTAAGGTAATGGTAATGGCTGATCAAAAGTGGCAGCCTACCCTAAAGCTGGTCGAGCTATTAGCTTACCTAGTGAGACTGATGTTGTATAAATATCGCGATGTTGAGTCAATGCAGAGGTGTGAACGAGCATGTTGTTATTGTAGGCCCATTCCTAGATATTTTACACCATCATGACAGCATTGAAGCCCATCCTCACGCCAACATTGCTTGCAGCGATTCGAAAGCAACCAAATCTTCCACGTAATACATGGTACTTTATCACCGCTACTACTCTATCAGCCCTCAATAGGCCGGACGAGCTGTCAGAGGTCTTCAAGAATGCCATAGGGGAAGGCTCAGACACTATTGTGAATGGTATTCCGAGCCGGGACGATCAGTTGCGCATATCTAGGCGTCTCAGAGAAGCCCTATTGAAAGCTTCTGCCGTCGGAGGCATGCCCAAGGTTGGCAGGCCACGAGTATGGCGAACTCACCTCGGTGCTAACATTTTCGGATAGTCGATTAATGCTCTGATGTCCCTTAAGTCCGCAACCACTGAAGACCTACTAGACGAGGAAGTAACGGGTACGTCTATCAGACATAAGGATATATACGATACTACACCAGCACAAGTGCTCGAGCGAGGACAAGCCTTCTTCGAAGCCATATATGGCAAGATTTCCAGACGTATAATGGGTCAACTAGACCGGTCAGGTGCGCCAGACTTGGGTTTGCTGGCGAGGTTGACATATGGGTATGTACTCAGCAACACCGATGTGCTTACGCCAGCCGAAACTTCATTCGTACTCATTGCTAGTCTCATTCCCCAAGATGTAAGTGTGTTTTCTGGGCAGCCACCGGGCTGCACTAAAGTCATATGTAATGCTGATGCCAAGCCTTAAAGGTGAACCCTCAACTGAAGGGGCATTTGCGGGGTGCAATCAATGGAGGCGCCAGTGTAGATGAAGTGAGAGCCGTGAGGGATGTAGTTATCAAGATTTGTGAAGCTTCAGGAATGAAGAAGCTAGAAGAGAATGCCATTGGGGGATGGGGTTGGAGAAGTGAAGTTGCGAATGTATAGAATATTATTACTTTGACCTCGGGGCCTTGAGCCTACCCTAAACTACCTTATATAAGTTGTCTGGCTGCGTAATACATAGGAGATGACAACTTGACCGCTCTGAATTTTGAAGGAATGTTAGGACTGTAGTCATGTACTACTGCAAGGAATGGCCGTGCTCTACTTGTGAGTGTTATCAACATGTCCTAAAGACGCGTCGCCGAGTTGTGAAAATCGTGACGATTGCCAACACCACGAATAGACTGGAGATCTCATTGTGAGTGATAGACAGAGAGCCTCATTCCCTATTGTCCGAAAGAGGCTGTTTACACGACTCAAAAAACTCCGCGACCTATTGTTTCATGTCCAAACGGCGCCTAGTCTCCCCAGCGGCCGGCCCCCGTTTTCTCTTTGGTGAGCTCAAGATGGAAGACGGAAGCCATTCCGCGTTTAGGCGAGGCCGCGCCCAGAGCCAGCATAGCAAGTCCCAAGTCCGCTGTCACGCGCAAAAGCAAGGGTAGCAACCCGCCACCAAAGTCAAGGCACCTAAGGTACCTATGGCTCTAGGGCCTAGGCCTACCTAGGGGTCGACAGAGCTCCTAAGAACAAGGCCTGGGCGTATCTATCCGTAGGCCGGAGGGGTCGGGCAGTGGAAAGTTCACAGTCAATCAATGCCGCTCTCAACTGTAATCGAGGCCACCCAAGACCTAATTCGGGTACGCCACGGTTTACTGATCTGCTACTGCTCGACTCTGGTTCGTCCAAGCTTGACAAACACACTAAAACCAAAGGTCCAAAGGAGCTTCCCGTGGCCAAAAGGTAAATCATCAACGCCCAGAAAGAGCTTGTATGTATGTATCCGTACGGCAGAGTAATAAGTGCCTACACTTGAGACACTGTGAGGTACTAAATAGGTAAACTTGCCTTACGATAGATCGCCATCGAGTCTGGACTTGCAATTAACTACCAACGGCGTCTAGTGAGTAGGTACCTAAGTAGTTTGTTGTTGCTCGCCACGTCACAGTGATTCGAATGGCTCAGATAAGGTGATCTAAGTTAAATCAGACTTTAATAAACCCCGCGTATGACCCCAGTTGGACGCTCGCTCTCCGAACCCATTCTCGAGGTCATGTTGACTTGACTTGACTTGACTTGACTTGGTAGCACTCATGATGGATACTTGTCTCATTGATAGGTACCTACAAGCGAGAGCCTGTTAGCCAAACTCTCCGTCAACCGCGCATTGTATGGACTATTATGGAAAAGAGCACGAGGCTCCATAACCAATGTCGATCTGGTGGTGCGGAAATCTCCTGATGGGTTTATGGATCAGAGTGGTATTTTACTCTCTAGCAGGGCAAAATAGACGGAACTGAGCCGTTCCCCATCTTCGCGATACAACATCCTGAAGGAGCGTCTCCCATGTCTAGCAGATCAGAACAAGGCTCCCCTTGCACCATGCCGAGTATGGATAAGATAGTTTGGTAGCAATGGTAGGCAGACTCAGTCAGTCAGTCAGTCACTGATGTACATACTGTATGGGCGAGAAAGCCTAGCCGTGGGGTTCACAATGACCATATCGGTATCGGGACTCGGGAGATAGTTGACAATGGTAATGACAACTATCAATCGCTCATCAACGCAGTGTAACTGTACCTGCTCTGATATGGGATCGCTCAGGATGCAGCATGCACACCCTCCCCTCCTTTGAGAAAGACCTCGACCGACATTGGGGTAGCACAAGGCGAATTTGGTGATCTGGCAAGCAAAAAAGGCAACCGGAACACCCACGAGTCTGGGAACGAGGCGTGCTATTCGACCGGGGAGAACATGAGTGGCACCATTCACCTACATACCTGCATACTTACCTTAGGGTTGCAGGAAAGGCTAGGATAGACTTGAGCGTAGGTATGTACGTATGTAGACAGACAGACATACAGTGCAGTGCAGTGCAGTTCAGATACAGAATTAGAATGCCGACCCGCAGCAATAATCTCGGATGCATGACAGTCCGAAGTAGTCACACGCATCTATACATATTGGTCTGTCTTGTTGTCTTGGTTTTCTGGCCCGTCCAACCATGGCAAGCTCCAGGATCAGAGTAACATCATGATGAATTGCATCCATCCATCGGACTATGCAGGAATACATTGCAAATGTACATATTGTATTGCCTTTGAACACTCCCGAAAAGCGTCGGCGTCGGGACTCTCAACGACAGGGCCAGGTTCAAGGGTAAGACGGGACAGGGTTTATTAACGAGCCTCTCTCTCTTGTCATTGTTTCCTTATCCCGCTTAAACACCCCTGCCAATTTCAATCACGACTCCCACACGTGGCCTAAGATCCTCGAGGGGCGAGGGCATACATAGTACGGATAGGGCATCTCAAGCCTTGTCCTGTCTAGTCCAGTCCATGTCCAATATTGACGGGGGGGCGGCTCACAAGCGGCAAGGCGCGCATCAATCCATTGTGTCGGGTCACTTACTCACTTTTCCATTTTATCGATGTCATGATGTGAAAACACGGGAACATTGACTTTGATCGATCCACACGCCTCTTTGACTTTGCGACGTGCGAACCTAGGTAAGGTACTTAGTCAATGCTTAGAGACCGCAAGGAACTTCCCAGCATCTGGAGTGTCGTCTTCCCGCGCTACACTCGCCATCTCAGACGGGAATCTGCTCTCGCCAAAATAGTCTGCACGTCACATTGAGATTGGGTTCTCAACATCTCAGCCAATGCCCCGCGCACTGGGATCCAGCACCTTAACAGGCCTCTGCTATACCCCAGGATCAAGCTGTATATGTCTCGTGGCGCCTATAAGATGTGCGTCTTATTAATTGTGCTTTGACGACAACTGGACTTGAATCAACAACATGGACCTGATACCTCAAATTTCAACATCATACGTTGTGCAACAGCAAAATGATGGAGAGTTCGTGGCCTTGGACAGTAGCTTCGTACGTCTTCCAGTAACCAAATAGCCGGGTCACTGATTCACAAGTGGCCCATCATGAGCACTGTTAGCTTCAATAACTCAGTCCGACAGCCTGGATGTGGCTGAATGGCGTCCAGGCCGCTGACACCAAGTGCCGTCCCTAACTAAAGTCTAGACTGCCAACAGTGATAAAGGTAGAGTGACATCGATGCTCACCTGCGTCAATTAAGCCAATATTCCGAGGTTATGACCACCATCCTGGAGAAGCAGTGTCCTTAACGAATCTGGACCGCGATATGCCCTTCAATATCGAGCGACCACGGCCACTGGTACATGCCTACGTACCTTGATCCATGCTAGAAACTGCCGTTGTTTCTTTCGTTTTTCTCCTTGTTCTAGGCCGCTGTGATCGCGTTATTTACCGGTCGTTAGCATCTACCTAGTCTGTGTGTTAGACTGGTGGCGCTCGCGTAAGGCTACCACAGTTGGAAGTTTGGGACCAAATTGCCTGCGCATACTTGCTTTTACAAGGCTGTTCCTTGGAGAGATTAATGCCTAGACCACTACTGGCTTTACCGGAGAAGGAGAACAAGTCCAAGCGCTTCAACCTCCAACGGTATCTCTGAGTGTTTCACGCAACGGACACTAGGCCTCCACACGGGCCATGCAGGGCGGTGGACTTTGTTTGCGTTGTCAGTATCTTGAGGACGCCTTTCTGCGCTGGAAAATGATTCCCTCGCCGAGTGATGGGTAGTCGAGCTCGGTGGGGGTATCCCATTACATACCTGCACAACCCCCAGGATAGGATGCCGTTGGGAGATGGGAGATGGGAGATGAGATGCAGGATGAGATTGGAGCGCCAGCGCCGCCAGGAGACAATGATGGCCAACCGGTTTCGATAGCAACTAAACGCGGAAGCATTACGGTGGTACCTGTTGGCGATCCTGAAGATCATCCTTCGGATACTGTAGGTCTATGGTATCCTTCATGATATGATACGGTCCGACGGTGAAGTGGATATACATATATGTGATACCGTGGAGCGAGGCCCATTAGACGCCAGGACTATCCAGTATACATAATACATACGGTGGTTGTAGGTGATCGACAAAACCTATCCTTGATTTCTGGCGTTCAGTCTGTGAGACAATAGACGGGCGGCAGCCTTGTTGACCCAAAAGCTATGGCTATCTTGTCCAGTTTGACAGCTCTCGGACTGTTGAATGTCCCCGACGACAAGCATTGATCAAGTTTTCAACGCCTCTTTGGGACCCAATTGCCCAGAAATTTCTTTGTACAACATTATTATTCCTTGCGGATGGTTGGTATGAGTCCTAATACAGTATCTCGTAAATATGGGTGGGTATACTGAGGGACAATGTACCTGAGCAAGGCTACTGAGAAATATGAGTTAGAAGACATGAACATGAGCCAGGATTGAAGCGAGGCCAAGACTGAGTTGAGCAACTCGAGCAATGCGATATATCGATGATGTTATAAAATTGCCAGAATTGGCGAGGGAAAGGTGCTGTATAATTGTACCGTACTGTGTAGGTGGGAGAATGGTGATCTGGATTCGAACTGGGTCACTCGTGTAAGCAAGCGCATGTTGATCCACCCAAAGTCCAATCACATGTTCTGTAGCGGATAACTACTACTGTAAGTAGGTAGGTGGGCTTCTAGGTAAAAACTCCGAGTTACCAAAGAAAGCAATAGCCAAAGATCTTGGAGATTAGTTACCTAGGTAGGTAGCATCAATGTTCCGAAGGATGGTGAACTTGAGAGTCTGTATCGCTTGTCCAGTAACTAGGGGCCTTTCTCTGACTGAGCCAGGCCAGGGTCGTGTTTGGTCATGATGCAAGCAATCAGGTGCAGAGACTTGACCCTCAATTCCGAATGGAGGACCCCGCGACAAACCCAGTCCCCAAAAGAGGACACAGCGGAGCGTAGGCCACGGAAATGGCGGCGGCGGGAGAGTCAGATTTGGCGGTTTATTCGCATCGCGCATCGGTGAAGCCGAGAGAGAGCTTGGTAACTCTTTCGACTTTTACAAGGATCGTGACAGCCAATCAGAGACTCCC